AATATAAAAAACCCAATGTTATTACAAACGAAAGGAAGTGTTTGTTGCAAATGCACTGCAGGTTGCTTTCCTGGGTTGGCTTTCTTACGTATGCCAGGATCTGGTTTGCCAACACTGTACCCATAGTCACGGGTTTCACCAAAGCAGGAGACCCGTGAGGATTCGGCGTAGAAGAGGAATTCAGCAACCCATGCTTTTAATAAGAGGTGACTGGGATTGGGTGGTGAGGCTCGCTGACTTGGTTGATGCATGCCATCGTATCTCAATTGCGTGGGTCGATGCTCATGATATCAATCACTGGATTGTCTGGTCCAGACTTGATTATTTACAGACTGCTGCCATATAGCTGCAATATTGCTGAGTGCGGCATTAAACAACAAACAAACCAAAGCATGTGTAGGACATGTCTCACTACAGGCTTTCCGCCCACATGAAGCCAACTGATGTGTCTGTGTTTTGTTGTTAATGCCACACTCAGCAATATTCCAACAATTATAAAAAAATTAGTCTGGATCAGACAATCCAGTGGTTGATATTGTGAGCAATGATCTATGCCATCATGTTACGATGACATGCAACCAAGGTTAATCCATTTAGTCACCTCTTACGACCAGCAAAGGTTGCTTGGAACCTATTCTTACCAAGAATACCCCTGGGGCTGAGACTTCCGATAACTGAAAAATCTGTTCAAAATTAATGTAAAGGCAGACTCATTCCTTCACTTATATGTAATATTTAGCACTTCATCCATTGAGCATCGATTTGAAAGAAAGCTTGTTGATATTCCAATCGCTTTCTTTGGTTAGAATAGACCAAGTGATCTTGTAAGAGAAATCCATGAATCATTGCAATTTTCTTTGAAGGATATCGGGTAAAAACTTTGGTTAGTTTATGGTTTGTGATGTTCGGCTCATGTCCAACAACCTCATTGATGGCTTCTGGCGGACAAGTCTGTGATTGAGACACGTTAGTCTTCTGGTTGCCATGACAACATGTCCCCCATGAAATGTTAAAAGCTACGTACTTAAATGATATTCTGAAAGTTGATCTATGTCCAGAATCCCAGGAGATGACGCCACAGAAACAAAAGCAGATCGACAGGTCAGATTTTCGAAGAGGTAATTTTCACGAGGATTGAATCAGAACATGCAAGCTCTAAGCGTTATCATTCTCTGTTTTTCTCCACATATTGTCTTGATTTTCTCTCTTGTCATGAACCAAGAACCTGTCATTTCTTCGGATTCTCTGATCAATCAAAGAGTATAAGTATCGGCCACTTTTTGCTCACATCTCGTGCACAAGTCATATGAGTTGCCATTTTCCACAGAGAATGCCCTCTGGCATACATTATTTGTGTTTGGGTGTGTTTATTTCAGATGTTCGATAAGAAGGAGAGGTATCTAAATCTTTGAATTCTTTTCAGCCTGTTCTCAACTTGTTCCCATCTTGGCTCCATCTTGTGCCAAGTCTTGGCTCCATCTTATTCCAATCTCGGCTCCATCTTGATCCCATCTTGGCTCCATCTTGGCTCAACCTTGGCTCCACCTTGGTTCCATCTTGTTCCCGTCTTGGCTCCATTTTGTTCCCATCTTGGCTCCATCTTGTTCCTATCTTGGCTCCATCTTGGCTCCATTTTGTTCCCATTAATGCTCCATTTTGTTCCCATCTTGGCTCCATCTTGTTCCTATCTTGGCTTCATCTTGTTCCCATCTTGGCTCCATCTTGGCTCCATCTTGTTCCCATCTTGGCTCCATCTTGTTCCGATCTTGTTCCCATCTTGGCTCCATCTTGTTCCCATTTTGTTCCGATCTTGTTCCCATCTTGGCTTCATCTTGTTTCCCTTCTCGGCTCCATCTTGTTCCCATCTTGGCTCCATCTTGTTCCCATCTTGGCTCCATCTTGTTCCCATCTTGTTCCCATCTTGGCTCCATCTTGTTCCCATCTTGGCTCCATCTTGTTCCCATCTTGGCTCCATCTTGTTCCCATCTTGGCTTCATCTTGTTCCTATCTTGGCTCCATCGTGTTCCTATCTTGGCTCCATCTTGTTCCTATCTTGGCTCCATCTTGTTCCCATCTTGGCTCCATCTTGTTCCCATCTTGGCTCCATCTTGTTCCCATCTTAGCTCCATCTTGTTCCTATCTTGGCTCCATCTTGTTCCCATCTTGGCTCCATTTTGTTCCCATCTTAGCTCCATCTTGTTCCCATCTAACCCCCCTCGTTCCCATCTTAGCTCCATCTTGTTCCTATCTTGGTACCATCTTGTTCCCATCTTGGCTCCATTTTGTTCCCATCTTAGCTCCATCTTGTTCCCATCTTGGCACCATCTTGTTCCCATCTTTGCTCCATCTTGTTTCCCTTCTTGGCTCCATCTTGTTCCCCTTCTTGGCTCCATCTTGTTCCCATCTTGGCTTCATCTTGTTTCCCTTCTTGGCTCCATCTTGTTCCCATCTTAGCTCCATCTTGTTCCCATCTTGGCACCATCTTGTTCCCATCTTTGCTCCATCTTGTTTCCCTTCTTGGCTCCATCTTGTTTCCCTTTTTGGCTCCATCTTGTTCCCATCTTGGCTTCATCTTGTTTCCCTTCTTGGCTCCATCTTGTTCCCATCTTAGCTCCATCTTGTTCCCATCTTGGCTCCATCTTGTTCCTATCTTGGCTCCATCTTGTTCCCATCTTGGCTCCATCTTGTTCCCATCTTGGCTCCATCGTGTTCCCATCTTGGCTCCATCTTGTTCCTATCTTGGCTCCATCTTGTTCCCATCTTGGCTCCATCTTGTTCCCATCTTGGCTCCATCTTGTTCCTATCTTGGCTCCATCTTGTTCCCATCTTAGCTCCATCTTGTTCCTATCTTGGCTCCATCTTGTTCCTATCTTGGCTCCATCTTGTTCCCATCTTAGCTCCATCTTGTTCCCATCTTGGCTCCATCTTGTTCCCATCTTGGCTCCATCTTGTTCCTATCTTGGCTCCATCTTGTTCCCATCTTAGCTCCATCTTGTTCCTATCTTGGCTCCATCTTGTTCCTATCTTGGCTCCATCTTGTTCCCATCTTAGCTCCATCTTGTTCCCATCTTAGCTCCATCTTGTTCCTATCTTGGCTCCATCTTGTTCCAATCTTAGCTCCATCTTGTTCCTATCTTGGCTCCATCTTGTTCCCATCTTGGCTCCATCTTGTTCCCATCTTGGCTCCATCTTGTTCCTATCTTGGCTCCATCGTGTTCCCATCTTGGCTCCATTTTGTTCCCATCTTAGCTCCATCTTGTTCCCATCTTAGCTCCATCTTGTTCCTATCTTGGCACCATCTTGTTCCCATCTTGGCTCCATCTTGTTCCTATCTTGGCTCCATCTTGTTCCCATCTTGGCTCCATTTTGTTCCCATCTTAGCTCCATCTTGTTCCCATCTTGGCTCCATCTTGTTCCCATCTTAGCTCCATCTTGTTCCCATCTTGGCTCCATCTTGTTCCTATCTTGGCACCATCTTGTTCCTATCTTGGCACCATCTTGTTCCCATCTTGGCTCAATCTTGTTCCTATCTTGGCTCCATCTTGTTCCCATCTTAGCTCCATCTTGTTCCCATCTTGGCTCCATCTTGTTCCCATCTTGGCTCCATCTTGTTCCTATCTTGGCACCATCTTGTTCCTATCTTGGCACCATCTTGTTCCCATCTTGGCTCCATCTTGTTCCCATCTTAGCTTCATCTTGTTCCCATCTTGGCTCCATCTTGTTCCTATCTTGGCACCATCTTGTTCCCATCTTGGCTCCATCTTGTTCCCATCTTGGCTCCATCTTGTTCCCATCTTAGCTCCATCTTGTTCCTATCTTGGCTCCATCTTGTTCCTATCTTGGCACCATCTTGTTCCTATCTTGGCACCATCTTGTTCCCATCTTGGCTCCATCTTGTTCCCATCTTAGCTTCATCTTGTTCCCATCTTGGCTCCATCTTGTTCCTATCTTGGCACCATCTTGTTCCCATCTTGGCTCCATCTTGTTCCCATCTTGGCTCCATCTTGTTCCCATCTTAGCTCCATCTTGTTCCTATCTTGGCTCCATCTTGTTCCTATCTTGGCACCATCTTGTTCCCATCTTGGCTCAATCTTGTTCCCATCTTAGCTTCATCTTGTTCCCATCTTGGCTCCATCTTGTTCCTATCTTGGCTCCATCTTGTTCCCATCTTAGCTCCATCTTGTTCCTATCTTGGCTCCATCTTGTTCATATCTTAGCTCCATCTTGTTCCCATCTTAGCTCCATCTTGTTCCTATCTTGGCTCGATCTTGTTCATATCTTGGCACCATCTTGTTCCTATCTTGGCTCCATCTTGTTCATATCTTAGCTCCATCTTGTTCCCATCTTGGCTCCATCTTGTTCCCATCTTGGCTCCATCTTGTTCCCATCTTGGCTCCATCTTGTTCCCATCTTAGCTTCATCTTGTTCCCATCTTGGCTCCATCTTGTTCCCATCTTGGCTTCATCTTGTTCCCATCTTGGCTCCATCTTGTTCCCATCTTAGCTCCATCTTGTTCCCATCTTGGCTTCATCTTGTTCCTATCTTGGCTCCATCTTGTTCCCATCTTGGCTTCATCTTGTTCCCATCTTGGCTCCATCTTGTTCCCATCTTGGCTCCATCTTGTTCCCATCTTAGCACCATCTTGTTCCCATCTTGGCTCCATCTTGTTCCCATCTAAGCTTCATCTTGTTCCCATCTTGGCACCATCTTGTTCCTATCTTGGCTCCATCTTGTTCCCATCTTGGCTCCATCTTGTTCCCATCTTGGCTCCATCTTGTTCCCATCTTGGCTCCATCTTGTTCCCATCTTGGCTTCATCTTGTTCCCATCTTGGCTCCATCTTGTTCCCATCTTGGCTCCATCTTGTTCCCATCTTGGCTCCATCTTGTTCCCATCTTGGTTCCATCTTGTTCCCTTCTCGGCTCCATCTTGTTCCCATCTTAGCTCCATCTTATTCTCATCTTGGCTCCATCTTGTTCCCATCTTGGCTCCATCTTGTTCCTATCTTGGCTCCATCTTGTTCCCATCTTGGCTCCATCTTGTTCCCATCTTGGCTCCATCTTGTTCCCATCTTGGCTCCATCTTGTTCCCATCTTGGCTCCATCTTGTTCCCATCTTGGCTCCATCTTGTTCCCATCTTAGCTCCATCTTGTTCCCATCTTGGCTCCATCTTGTTTCCACCTTGGCTCCATCTTGGCTCCATATTGTTCCCACCTTGGCTCCATCTTGTTTCCCTTTTTGGCTCCGTCTTGTTCCCATCTTGGCTCCATATTGTTCCCACCTTGGCTCCATCTTGGCTCCACCTTGGCTCCATCTTGGCTCCATCTTGTTCCCACCTTGGCTCCACACATCTTGTTTCCCTTCTCGGCTCCATCTTGTTCCCATCTTGGCTCCATGTCATGAGAATGTAGCGTTTGATGTGACAGTAACATAAACATCTGTACTTGATTTGGAGACAGATGTATCTACTGTTCATCAACCCTTCACAACTGAGCAAAATTGTTTACCTCAACCTTCTTAAAGTAGTCAGCAGAACCCGAGTGGTTTTAACCCCCTTGCAGAAATATTCCAGCAGACTGTTAATAATTATTCAACCTCTGGGGACTCATGAATAGTCAGTTGTTTCATGCAGAATCAATATGTGCGTAGATCCACCTGCAAAGTGTTAGAAACTCTAATACATGATGATGGTTTGTGGAAGATGATACCGTGTTATCCAGCTCATATTTCAAGGATACATGGTGCTCCACAGTGTTGAATGTACCATACTTGTCACAAGTGAGAAAATGTAGAGTGAACATGTAAAAAGATGTCTTCCTTTGAGTGCCTTTTCAGGACATGGAAATTCATCCTTGGACCTATTATTAATGGGATAAGCTTCATAGGAACTTTGCTGTGAAATTATTAAAACAGTAAAATGTTTTTTTCTGATTAGGATTGCTTTACTGAAGTAATGCTATAACTAAAGTCCCAATGTACCATGCTACTCAAAAGAAGTTAAAGAACACCCAAGTGACTATAGTTTATCTGTCATGATTGGTGGGTATTGCAACACACAGGCTTCCATTTGCGAATGTTTTTATCCCCCGCCGCGCGAAAGTGCGAAGCGGGGGATATAGTATTCACGACCGTCCGTACGTCCCACCTGTTTGTTGCCGCGATATCTCAAGAACTAAACACTGGATTGTCTTCATATTTGGAACTATGGTGTATATACAGACTCCGCAGACACCAGTCGGTTTTGGTGACCTTGATCCCATTTTCAAGGTCACAGCAGACAAATCTGCTTTTAGAGTTGGAAAACGGTGTTGCCGCGATATCTCAAGAACTAAACACTGGATTGTCTTCATATTTGGAACTATGGTGTATATACAGACTCCGCAGACACCAGTCGGTTTTGGTGACCTTGATCCCATTTTCAAGGTCACAGCAGACAAATCTGCTTTTAGAGTTGGAAAACGGTGTTGCCGCGATATCTCAAGAACTAAACACTGGATTGTCTTCATATTTGGAACTATGGTGTATATACAGACACCGCAGACACCAGTCGGTTTTGGTGACCTTGACCCCATTTTCAAGGTCACAGCAGGCAAATCTGCTTTTGGAGTTGGAAAACGGTGTTGCCGCAATATCTCAAGAACTAAACACTGGATTGTCTTCATATTTGGAACTATAGTGTATATACAGACTCCGCAGACACCAGTCGGTTTTGGTGACCTTGATCCCATTTTCAAGGTCACAGCAGGCAAATCTGCTTTTAGAGTTGGAAAACGGTGTTGCCGCGATATCTCAAGAACTAAACCTCTCGATTGTCTTCATATTTGGAACTATGGTGTATATACAGACACCGCAGACACCAGTCGGTTTTGGTGACCTTGACCCCATTTTCAAGGTCACAGCAGGCAAATCTGCTTTTGGAGTTAGAAAACGGTGTTGCCGCGATATCTCAAGAACTAATCGCTGGATTGTCTTCATATTTGGAACTATAGTGTATATACAGACACCGCATACACCTGTCAGATTTGGTGACCTTGACCCCATTTTCAAGGTCACAGCAGGCAAATCTGTTTTTGGAGTTGGAAAATGGTGTTGCCACAATATCTCAAGAACTAATCGCTGGATTGTCTTCATATTTGGTACTATGGTGTATATGGCGGGGGATATTTCGTCACTCTGTGACAAATACTTGTTTAACTTGTTATACCCCTGACCTAACTTTCAGGGAATTCTGTCCATAGTTATGTTTCACTTTTTAAGTTTGAATTTATTTACTTTAACATTTGTTCGACCTATAACTTTGAAAACACTACATGGATTCTTTTCAAATTTAGCGAACAGTTTCCAGAAGAGGTGCAGTGAAAAGAATGATTTTGATATAATATGAATTTTTACATGAATATAGAATTTTTGTTTTACTTGTCCTGATGCTGTGTGAGCCCTATTTCTTTGTGTGTGCTGTGTCTGTCCTGGTGTTGTGTGTGTCCTGGTGCTATGTATATCCTGGTGCTGTGTGTGTGTCCTGGTGCTGTGTGTGCCCTGGTGCTGTGTGTCCCTGGTGCTGTGTGTCCCAGTGCTGTGTGTGACCTGGTGCTGTGTGCTGCGTTTACCCTGGTGCTGTGTGTCCTGGTGCTGTGTGTGTCCCAGTGCTGTGTGTGCCCTGGTGCTATGTGTGTCCTGGTGCTGTGTGTGTCCCAGTGCTGTGTCTATCCTGGTGCTGTGTGTGTCCCAGTGCTGTGTCTGTCCTGGTGCTGTGTGTGTCCTGGTGCTGTGTGTCCTGGTGCTGTGTGTGTCCCAGTGCTGTGTGTGTCCCAGTGCTTTGTCTGTCCTGGTGCTATGTATATCCTGGTGCTGTGTGTGTCCTGGTGCTTGTGTGTCCCAGTGCTGTGTCTGTCCCAGTGCTATGTATATCCTGGTGCTATGTGTGTCCTGGTGCTGTGTGTGCCCTGGTGCTGTGTGTCCCAGTGCTTTGTGTGTCCTGGTGCTGTGTGTTTCCTGGTACTTTGTGTCCCAGTGCTGTGTGTGTCCTGGTGCTGTGTGTAACCTGGTGCTGTGTGTGCTCCAGTGCTGTGTGTGCCCCAGAGATGTGTCTACCCCAGTCTACCCCATTGGTGTGTTTGACCTGGTGCTGTGTGTAACCTGGTGCTGTGTGTGCCCTAGTGCTGTGTGTGGCCCGGTGCTGTGTGTGTCCCAATGCTGTGTGCCCCAGTGTTGTGTGTGAACTGGTGCCGTGTGCCCCAGTGATGTGTGTGTCCCAGTGCTGTGTGTGACCTAGTGCTGTGACCTGGTGCTGTGTGTGACCTGGTGCTGTGTGTCCCAGTGTTGTGTGCCCCAGTGTTGCGTGTGACCTGGTGCTGTGTGTGCCCCAGTGCTGTGTGTGACCCAGTGCTGTGTGTATCCTGGTGTTGTGTGTGACCTGGTGCTGTGTGTATCCTGGTGTTGTGTGTGACCCGGTGCTGTGTGTATTCTGATACTGTGTGTGCCCCGATGCTGTGTGTGCCCCAGTGCTGTGTGTGTCCCACTGCTGTGTGTGCCCCGATGCTGTGTGTGCATTGGTGCTGTGTGTGTATTGGTGCTGTGTGTTTCCTGGTGTTGTGAGCCCCAGTGCTGTATGTGCCCTAGTGCTGTGTCTTACCCATTGCTGTGTTTGACCTGGTGCTGTGTGTATCCTGGTGTTGTGTGTGTCCTGGTGCTGTGTGTATCCTGGTGTTGTGTGTTTCCTGGTGTTGTGTGTGTCCTGGTGCTGTGTGTTTCCTGGTACTTTGTGTCCCAGTGCTGTGTGTGTCCGGGTGCTGTGTGTAACCTGGTGCTGTGTGTGCTCCAGTGCTGTGTGTGCCCCAGTGATGTGTCTACCCCAGTCTACCCCATTGGTGTGTTTGACCTGGTGCTGTGTGTGACCTGGTGCTATGTGTGCCCCAGTGCTGAGTGTGTCCTGGTGCTGTGTGTGCCCTGGTGCTGTGTGTGCCCTGGTGCTGTGTGTGCCCCAGTGCTGTGTGTGCCCCAGTGCTGTGTGTCCCAGTGTTGTGTGCCCCAATGCTGTGTGTGCCCTGGTGCTGTGTGTGCCCTGGTGCTGTGTGTGCCCTGGTGCTGTGTGTGCCCCAGTGCTGTGTGTGCCCCAGTGCTGTGTGCCCCAGTGCTGTGTGTCCCAGTGTTGTGTGCCCCAGTGCTGTGTGTGACCTGGTGCTGTGTGTGACCTGGTGCTGTGTGTGACCTGGTGCTGTGTGTGCCCCAGTGCTGTGTGTGCCCTGGTGCTGTGTGTGGCCCAGTGCTGTTTGTCCCCCAGTGCTGTGTGTCCCAGTGTTGTGTGCCCCAGTGTTGTGTGCCCCAGTGCTGTGTGTCACCTGGTGCTGTGTGTCACCTGGTGCTGTGTGTGCCCCAGTGCTGTGTCCCAGTGTTGTGTGCCCCAGTGCTGTGTGCCCCAGTGCTGTGTGTGCCCCAGTGCTGTGTCCCCCAGTGCTGTGTCCCCCAGTGCTGTGTGTGCCCCAGTGCTGTGTGTGACCTGGTGCTGTGTCTATCTGGCACCGACTTGACTGTTCCAGTTCAGTCATGGCACTTCAGGTACTTGTTCCTTTCAGAACCAAGCCCATCGCACAAGGAAAGTGAATACATTATGCACGGGAAATGAACATGATTTTGATGGAGTGATTGATTGTATTGCCTCCTCGAGAATTCCCTGCTTATGCCAACACTGCCATCATTCAATATGAAATCAATAACTGATATTGATTAGGCTGTCCAATCATGGCACTTGTTGGACCCACTGTTGCACTGGTCATACACAAATGACAAGAGAAAGTTGAAAAGAGGTTGATATTCTTGTGTGAAGTTGTTAATTGCTACAAATTGAATCTGTCAATAGTAGGCAGGTGCCACAACAGATCAGCTCAGGCCGTTGCCATGGCAATAAGATCTTATACTGGGTTGATTCAGAGGATAGGTCCATTGATTTTGGGAGCTCAGGAAGTTGGAGTGACCGTTTTTGACTGGCGCTCTGTTTGCAGTGCTATAACATGGCATATATAGGGTTCCCTTGGCGCTTTATGTCTTTGTAAACCTCTGCCTCTACTCCCACTGAGAGCTGTTCACACATGGGATGTTTGCATAGAACTGCGGCATAGAATAACTAAATAACACACTCCAACAAGGCTGGTCAATTCGCTTGGATCTCTTCGAGGGAATTGAATTTAGATCCTTGATTTATTCTAAATATAATGGAGGAAATCCTTTTAAGCAGCTTCTACATGTTTTTGACAGATAAAACTTTTGCTTTTAGTTTGATTTTAAAGATTTTGTCGTGTTTGTGAATGGGTGATAGCTGGTGTTAGATTGTGCCTGCGGCGTGGATGCCAATTTATGTACATCCGAAATGGCCATACAGATGATAATTA